ATGCATGGGCCGTGGACTCAGGAGAGGCAACCTGAACTATGGAGGTGACCAAGGAGAAGAAAAATCATACAAAGTGGGATGATGTATGGAAGAAGCCTTCCCGGAGGAGAGTGGTCAGCACTAGTGAAATCATCTTGGTCCTGCTCATGGTTGTGGGCCATATCAATTATGCCTGAAGCAGCTCAGGCAGATGGTGGGTACTTGGGGTCCAGTGGAGTTGCTGCCTTTCCCAGCTCCTTCGACATGAAAGGACGGAGTGCTTCTTCTTGGGGAAACCCAAGGACAAGGGTCAAAGATCACACTAATGAAAACACTCCCTGGTGTTGTGCATCAAAGGCGAGCACCAGCTGCAACACATGTGTGTTGCCCAGGGGACAGAGCAAAACCCATTCATGATTGCAGAGACTATGCACACAAGAGCATCTGCTCCTCTCTGAATGAGTCATTTTCTCCAAATGGCTCTACCACACAAACACCAACTTTCACTTTAAATTTAATTCGTTTTTATCTCTAAATATATTTAGGATATGGGGTGGAGTTTTTTTTTGTTTTTTTGCTTTTTGGGTTTTTTTTTTTTTTTTTTGGTCAGTCGTGGGGCCTGAATTCTGGGCCTGGGCGCTGTCCCTCAGCTCTTCAGCTCAAGGCTAGCGCTCTACCACTAGAGCCACAGTGCCACTTTTGGCTTTTTTTTTTCTGTTTATGCCATGCTGAGGAATCAAACCCAGGGCCTTATGCATGCGAGGCAAGCACTTTACCACTGAGCCAACATCCTAGCCCTGGGGTGGGTTTTTTTTTTTGCTTGTGCTTAGCTCCCTGTTACTATTTCTTTCCTATGCCCACCCTATATTGCTTTGTTATCTCCAATCACTGAAGGTAAAGCTCTGTCATCAGTGATGTCCTATTGCCTAAACTCTGCTCGACCCAGCCCAGGGTTGTCACCCACAGGCTTTATACCCAGTGCTGATGAACACAAAGCATGGAGCAACAGCTGTATTTCAGATGGAAACTTCCGCTCCTGCCTGCACCAGGTGTGTGACTGAGGCAGATTCCTCTGTAATGGAATTGTCCTCCCCACAACTCACCATAATTTGCCTTCGATTGCAATGCCTTGATGGCAGCAAGAGAAGAATCCTCCATGCCAGCTCTTCCAGTCACTCTACCAGTCTCATTCCAGGTAATGGGAATAGAGTCTCATGGACTAGATTCCCTTTAGCTAGGTAGCTAGAAGCCACTCCTGAGTTGTGTTTCAATGGTGAATCCCTAAATTTTCATTTCTCTTCCTTCTTGGGACTGAAATAAATGAGTTGTCTTTAGATCAGTTTCAAATGTTTTGACATGATTTGGGGGAGGCCCACCCAGTATCATGAAAATCACACTCTAGGCACACTCTGCACACAGCATTCCGTCATCCCTTCCTCAATCATTCAGCTAACAGTTCTGAGTGTCTACAATGTACCTGCCACTGTGTTATGATTCAAAGAAGTATCCATGAACAGAACACATGGGAACTGCTCTTAGAATTTAGGATCTTTGGTGGAAGCTAGACAATTGGTAATAATGGCAATTGCCTATATCACATGTGGCCTGCTCTCCTTCATGCCCAAATTAAGAGCTTAACCACATTCACCACCTTGTCAATAAGTAAAATTAACCATGTTTCAGAGAGGAGAATAAAGCTAAGCAAAGGAATCAAACAACCCAGAAGTCAACAGGCTTACCCTTTACATAGTGTGTGCACTGCAGCAATACACAGTATGGTATCCCACCTCAATACAAAATCCAGGAAGGAGGAAGTCAGTTAGCAGGATTAAGAAAAGGGACAATGTGTAGGAAGACTTGAGACCAGAGTGCAAGGCATGTTGGAGAATGCAGGGACATGGATGTGTGCAGCAGCGCAATGTGGACTGAAGAGTCTAAAGCTAGACCCACACCTTGTATGCTTTGGAATCCTAACTGCCTGGGAGCTTAGCTAGGGGAGTGATAGTATCAGATTTGCTGGATACTGCTGACAAGATGAAAGGGAGGCAGGAATATCTCCCAGGAGACTGGGGAGAGGTAAAGGGAAGAGGACTTCTGGAGGACAGAGCTATAGAGACTCACTGGTTGAGCACATGAATGAAAGCTGCATGCATTCTAGAGATGGGCTGCACTGGAGGAAAAAACAAGCAATTCCAACAATATATCAGTTCTGAGCTACAGGAAATGTTAATTGTCATTTTGACATTAAATGTGATCTATATAGGATGCTTTTTCATTTTTAGATCTTTAAAGTCTCAACAAGGATTTGTTTTCAATGCAGAAGTCCTGCAGTTTTTGTTGTTGTTGTTCTTGTTAAATTTGGTCTGAACTATTTTATTCTTTTTAATGCTAGTATAAGTGAAATTTTCTTAATTTCTTTTTTAGATGGCTCACTGCTTAGTGTATAGAAATACAATGAATTTTCATATATTGATTTTGTATCCTGCAAAATTTCCAAACTTGTTAGTTCTAATAGCTTTAAAGTATAGTTTTTTTCTTATATAGGATCATGTACTCTATTGTTATAATGGTTTAATCCTTTCTTTCCAATCTGGATACCCTTTATTTCTTTTCCTACCTAATTGCCATAGCTAGCAGCTCTAGTATAATGATGAATGGAAATAATAAGAGCAGACATGCTTGTCTTGTTCCTAATCTCCAGAGGTAAGCAGTCCATTTTTCCACCAGTGACTATTATCAGCTGTGGTTTTTTTCAGATGTTATTGATTATGTTGAAGATTTTCCTCTATTTGTAGTGTGCTAATAGTTTTGTTTTTATTCATGAATGAGTGTTGGATTTTTTGGATGCTTTCTCTGACTTTTTCCTTCCATTTTCTATGATACTATGGTGCTACATTATACATACATTCCTGGGACATTTCAAACCCCAGCTGGTCATGAGTTTTTATGTCTGTTTATAAGGAATACTAGTCTATCATTTTCTTATGATTTCTTTGTATACTTTAGGTATCAAGGCAATATTACACTCATAAAATGAGTTGGAGAATATTCCTTCTTCCTCTGTTTTTGAAACTGTGAAGGGCTGGTAGTAATTCCTGTCTGCAGACACATAACAACAGATGTTTAGTTGGATATAATATGCCATAACTCAGAAAAGAGACTGATAGATACCTGAGCTAGATGTGCAGGTTTGTAGGAGAGATAGAAGGGGGCAAGAACAGGTGTGAAGGGGACCTAGTAGAGGAGGCCCACAGCCAGGCAGATGAGATTGTGAGAGGGAAGCAGAGGCAAAAAAAAAAAAAGACAAAAGGAGGTTTTACAATGGAGACCAAAAGCACAGGCCTTGGTAACGTAGAGGCCGGTGACCATGGCTAGACCCTGTGGGAAGGATGAAGCCAGTCTTCTGTGGATTGAAGGCAGAATTGGGACGCATGCAGTAGAACCCCTTGGAACATCTGCTTTTCTGAAGAAAGATTTCCTATTTTTAGGCCTTTTTTGAGATTGAACTTGAAACCTCAGACGGGCCAGCCCTTTTTAGAACAAGATGGCCTGCTTGGGCTGATCCTTTAATTCTAGAGACATAGATGTCTCTGTTACTTCTGGGAGATGTGGGGGTCCTTGGGGTAACTGAAAAGACTGCAAGAAGAGGCTCACTTGAGTTTTGGTTTTGCTGATAGTGTTTATTCTGAGAACTCCTCCCAGAATAAATTCTCATTAGGCAAAGAGGCAGCCTCAAAAAGCTCTTGTGGAAAAATAAGGCTCTGGCTTTTCCTCAGCTGGAAGGGCAAATCTGGCACTATAAGTTCCTCCAACAAAGGTTGGTACCACTATTGCTCTCCAAAACTAGGAGAGCTGTCACCTGACCAGACCTGGCAAGACAGGGTGGAGAGACAGAGGAAGGGGCTCTTTCAACTGCTCCCCTGTCTCATCCCCAAGTCTCAGTTTCACTGAGAAGAAAACCACAGATGGAGACACTGTTAGGAGACTGGGCATGCCACAGGGCTACCCTGCTGTGGGACCAAGGTAATCAAGGAGGGTGTGGTGAACTTCAGGCTAGCTCAGGGGTTACCTGCTCTGATGACTTCCTTGCACTGGACAAGAATAAAGCTGTTTAAGGTAAGATCTTAAGGAAGAATCTAGAACCTATCACTATCAGTGTTCAGTCCTGGATGATCGTCCAACTCAACATTCCTTAGGAAGAGCCAGCATCAAGCCATACCTCTTACCTTCCTGCCTGCCATTCAGTGTGCGAAGAGAAAGAACTGGCCAAGCAGAGCACTGAAGAGGGTGTCCAAGAGGGCTATGTCCATCTGTACCCCCATAAACCTGATCATTTCAGTGTCTGGAGCTTGGATGATACCTGACCCTGTTGTGTTTCTTCCAAAATCCAAGCCAGTTCCCTACCCCCACTTACCTCTTGAAGGGCTCACTCCTGATCTCTACTTCCTGAGGCAACTCTGGGCCCCCAATGGAGAAGAGATGTGCAGACCAACTCCTACCAATGCCAACTCTGAGTTGTGCCTATGCTGCCTAGGACCTGGTGCTTCTGGCCCTGATATTCTTTTCCTCCCTCCCTCCCTCCTTCCCTCCCTCCCTCCCTCCCTCTCTCCTTCCCTCCCTCCCTTCTTCCCTCCCTTCCTTCCTTCCTTCCTTCCTTTCTTTCTTTCTTTCCTTCCTTCTTTCATTCCTTCTTTCTTTCTTTCTTCCTTTTTGGTCAGTTGTGGGGCCTGAACTCTGCTCTTCAGCTCTAGGCTAGCGCTCTACCACTTGGACCACAGTGCCACTTCTGGCTTTTTCTGCTTATGTATGTAGTGCTGAAGAATTGAACCCAAGGTCTCATGCATACAAGGCAAGCACTCTACCACTGAGCCACCTTCCCAGCCCCTGATATTTCTTCTTTGGCAGGCAAGATTGATGTGACCATGCTGCAGAAACATAAACTGGGGGCCAAGACAAAGAGATTCAGTCCATTTATTCAGGTATGGAGGCTGCTTAGCAAATGTGACCTGATGTAGGGCTCATCAGGGTTTCCACTCAATCACATCGAGGGCAATACTGGCTGCCCACTGTATGTTCTCATTCTTCTCTGTCTCAAGCGCACGGAAGACTGGTACATGAACCTGTAGTAACTTTCGGCCCTCGGGGGCCTCCGCCAGCATGGTGAGGGCCTTGGTGGCATTCAGGCGCACTTTGGTGCTAAGTTCTGGGTCCAGCAGCTCCAGAAGTGGGGGGATAGCATCCGCGTCCAGTGCTGCATACTTCCCTGTAAGCAAGGGGTTTGCTAACCAGCCTCTCCCAGGACCACTTCTCCCTGCCCTCATGCCTTGGTGCAGTCTCAAGGGGAAGCACCCTCCCATACCCACTCAGCTTCTTCTGCCCTACCTCTCTTGCACTCTACTGTCAGGCTGCGCCCTTCCCTTCTGCCCTTCTAGCCCCAAAGTAGCCTCTCCTCACCCACCCTGTTCCTGTCCTAAAATTCGTTCTCCTCAAGAAATACAAATGGTCTTATTAAAATGGAAAACCAATTGGTCATGTGGCAAATCCTTCTTGAGCAACCACTCTTCATAGATGTAATTTAGTGATAGAAGCCCAGACTGTAATATTCAGGATCCTCGGTCTGATCCCCAGGATAATACAAAATAAACCAAAACAACAACAATCTCATGGTGCCAGTCTGCAGGGAACACACACTTTAATTTGTATAGGAGACACTCTCCTGAACTCTCCACCAGCTCTTCTTTCCTCTGTGTGTGTGTGTGTGCGCGCGCGTGCACGCACGTGTGCACGCATGCCTAACACTCTATCTCTATGTTGATCCTCAAACCCTTCCTACAGGAGGCCTTTCCCCTGTCATGTGTTCCCCACCCAGTACTGAATTTCTCTGCATCCATTGTCTCTCGTGCCAAGTGAGACACCTCAGACCTCTGGGTTCGCACTATCCAGCTTATGGCCAGATACATGGCAGGGCTCACAGACCTTCAGCAGGAGTACCAATAGGAAAATATGTGGCTCATTTCTCTAGGTTCTGGCTTTGGCATCTCTGGCCATTGCTTGAGCCCCCACAGTCCCCTGGCTATTCGAGCAGTTTCCTCCACAAGAATCCTGAGGTGCTCCAAGATGAAGACACAGGGAATGACTCTGCTCCCTGTGTACTCAACCTCCTCTCTATACAACGGAAAGGTGAGCTGTGGACTCGAAGATCCTAATCTCCCTAAAGTTCCATCATTAAGGTACAGTGAGAAGTTTCTAGCAGAATCTGTCTTTGAGAGGCTTTGCAGCATGCCCATTACAAATCTGAGACTCAGAGAGTCCTCCATGGCATACAAAGAAAGCACAGTGCACAGCATTGGTACAGGTGAGTTTGGGCCAGCCAGGAAGATCAGACAACTTTAGAAGGTCTTGGTATGGAAAGCTAATCCTCACCCAATTTAAGAAAAATAAATTATGATCAAGAAATACCATAGAAGGGCTGGGAAGGTGGCTCAGTGGTAGAGCACTTGCCTTGCATGCATGAGGCCCTGGGTTCGATTCCTCAGCACCACGTAAGCAGAAAATAAAAGCCGGAAGTGGCGCTGTGGCTCAAGTGGTAGAGTGCTAGCCTTGAGCTGAAGAGCTGAGGGACAGCACCCAGGCCCAGAGTTCAGGCCCCACGACTGGACCAAAAAAAAAAAGAAAGGAAATACCATAGAAGACTAGACAAGACAAAAAGAGAAGATCCATTTCACTATAAAATCTGGATATGGTGGCACCTTCTGTGGTCTCAGCTACAGGGAAAGAATAAGTAGGAGAATTGGAGTCCAGGCTATCCCAGACCTCAGAAAAACACAAGATCTTACCTGAAAAATAAATAAAAAAATAGCTGGGAGAGTTTCTCAAATGGTAAAAGTGGCTGACTAGCAAGCCTGAGACCCTGGATAGTATATATTTAGTTGTTCATTTGTAAAAATAAACAATCTGGAGGAAGGGAGAGAGAGGAGGGATGGAGAGAAGGAGGGAGGGATCATCTAGTCAAGGGTTTGTTCTGAATCCCTGATGAACAGAATCATGGATCAAGGCTCACAAAGGGCCTGAATCTGAAGTGGGAATTCCAGGCCCAGTGAACAGCCTGGTGTGAAGAGAGGCATCTTAAAGTGAGTGACTAGTGAGGGGGCCACAGGCAGCCTGCAGTATCCAGGAAGAAGAGAGAAGGCTGGGTTTTAGACAAAATCTCAAAAAGGCTTCAGTGATAGGTAAGAGAGAGACTTTGATGGAGACTTTGAGTTTTATAAAGCTTTGTGGCTGATGGGAGACTCCCAAATGGACCCACTCCCACTTAGGGATCCTGGTGTGGCCTTACCTTCTGTGGTCACTGTAGCATACATCAAGGCCCCTGCAGCGTTGGCTCTCACCTCCATGCTGATGTCTTTTAGCCGATGCACCAGGATGGGGATGACATCATACTTCCACACCTGGTTCTTGCCCTCCAAAGGGATGCTGGGACATAGAGAGGACAGCTAGGGGCTCTGCTTTGGGAAGGAAGGTGGTAAGGCCTAAGATTGCCCCACTACCCACAAAAGGAAAGGACCTAGGTTGGGCCTGCCCTTTGTAGCCCAGAACTAGCCATGGCCAGAGCACCAGGGCACAAAGGAACAGAGATGTGAGCTGCTAGTGAAGGTGAGATCAAGGGACTAGGAGGCAAAGGGACCTTGTCCCATGCCATCATTCAAAGAAGAAACAAGACAGGTTCTTCTTGGTTCCAAAATGTAGAGGTGCAGAGTCTAGGGTGTAAACCACAACAAGGCCCATTTGATACTAGCAAGTCAGCTCGTAAAAAACAGGCAGTGAGCAGCCCAGTGCTGGGCAACTGGAAGTGGGAACTTAAACAAGGTGACTTTTAAGTCACTTCTCACTGTAGCATTGTAAGAAGCTGTGAAAAGAAGGTAGACTTCCTAATATTTCCCTCTAGGAGAGGGCCAACACTGTCCTCTTAAAAGAAAAGGCTTTCTGGGCCAGGGAACAATGCCCACAAGCCCCATGGGAATGCTGCAGTACATACTCATTCCAAGGATTGGAATTGCAAGGACTGCAATCATTGCAAGGATTCCTCCTTCACCTTACTGAATCAACCTTTCCGAAATCTCAGTTCCCAGACAACTCTGTTTTGTAAAACCCAATGTTTCAAAGGCATATGTGTTCCATAGGAACACTGGAAAACGGGCTTGGCAGCCATTCACTGTGAAGCAGTGAGGCTTTTAGGACTTTCTGCTCAGTGAACCTTACCCCTAGGTCACTTGATCAAGGATGCAGAACCCTGGGCCCACCTGCAGGAATTCTCCTGGTTCACTTATGTATCACGTATGAGTTACGCATCTAACAAGTGGCATTTGGCCCTATGCAGATACTGAGCCAGGAGCAGGACTTCTCCCTTTTGACCCTGTTGACATTTGGGGCCATATAATCCATGGTCTGTAGCAGTGACAAAGCCAAGGCCTGTCCTCAGGTAGCATACTGTGTGGGTAACACACAAAATGCTAATAGTGGTAAAACACAAGCCGGGTGAAGGGGTGCCAGGGGTGCTAGAGAGAGGTTACTCTCTCCAGGCCACTCCTGGAAAACCTGGTTGGAAAAGGTCCTCTAGGCAAAGACCTGAAGGATGAATGGTCTGGGCTAAAGCCTGGAAATATGTATTCTGACAACACATAAACACAAATGCATGCACGCATGTACACACACACACACACACACACACACACACACACACACACACCCCTCCAGCAAGAATCATAACTGATAGAAAACAAAGACTTAGAGCTATGACTAAGGGGATATGGCTACAGACAAAGCAGGGGGGCTCTGGGAGTTGGTCATAAGCAGTCCTAGGGATGAAAGGCCTGGTGTTCTCAGGCCAGGATTCAGATCATGATCCAATGTGGCCTCCAGCAAGCTACTAGATCTTATACCTCAGTTTTCTCCCCTTAAAAGGGAGCCATTCCTCTTACCTGTCTAAGTGTCTACATGTACAACTTGTAGACAACTTCTGGCACACTATGGTCACTTAGTGGCCAGAATGTCATTATTAGCACTGGAGTTTTGTTTCCCTTCCTCATGAAAGGAGGTGACCAACTGTCTGGGTTAGTCCAGGAATGGGGTAGGGAATGGGTCACTGGTATAGAGGACACTGTTGGGCCAAAGGAGAAAATGGTCACACTAGTAGAAAAGCCCATATTCCATCCCAGCACCCTCTTCTCTCCAGGACACAAGGACAGAGGTCTTTGGCCTCTGGGGCAGCCCTAGCTGGAAAAAAGACCTGCTGCTGGCCTGCTGTTGGGCCAGTGGCGGCTTAGGTGCCCTCTCTGGACCTTAGCAGAAGCCCAAGGGAATAGCTGCTTTGTCCCACCAGGTCTCCTCACCTGATGGCCATGAGTGCTTCAGCAGCCTTGCTTCGGATGTTCTCATTAGGACTAAGGAGTTTCTCTTTGAAGCAGGGTACAGCGCGGCTGCCCAGTGCCTCTGTGGCATCTTCCTGCAGGCAGATTGCCAGTGTGTCCAAGATGAGCTCCTGAATATTTTCCTCCTCCCTCTGCAGCTTCCATACCAGTGCAGGGATCAGGCCACAGTTGACAATACCCTGGGCCCCTGCAGGACAGGAAATGGTACAAGGATGAGACCTTTCTCCTCCCTCGATGGTGATTGGCTGCACAGGTAGGGTAGAGGATTGGCAGGGGGACTTGGCAGGCAGTCCTGGTAACCAGGCTATCTGGCCACACACTGGAGGCTATGTATATAGCTGTGACTGGAGCTGAGGCTGAGAGATGAGCCTACAGGGGTCACAAAGGGCTCCAGCCTTTGGTTACCTGCATTTCAGGAGCATCAGCCCTACATAGGAGTGCAGTGGTCAGAGAAGCAACGGCTCATTGCCTTAGGCCTAGGCACCTAGAGGCTCATGTGGGTGAGAGATGATTGGGTCATCAATGGACTAAACTATTAATGAGTCAGGCACCAGGTTCATGTCAACAATCCTAGCTACTCAGGAGGCTGAGATCTAAGGATTGATAGTTTGAAGCTAGCCCTAATAGGAAAGACCATGAGACTATTATCTCTAATTAACTATCCAAAAAAAGAGCAAGAAGTAGAGCTGTGGCTCAAGTGGTAGAGCACTGATCTTGAGGGAGACAAAAAGTTTTAATGAGTCATTACTGAATGGGCTATTAGGAAGTAGGGGCCTAGCTGGAAGAAATAGATCACTGTATGCATGCCTTTGAAAGGTGCCTGCAGCCCATTTCTCCCCTCTTCTTTGTTTTTGTTTTAGTACCAGTACCAAGACTTGAACTCAGGGCCTTGAGCTCTTGGCTTTTTTGCTCAAGACTGGTGATTTACCACTTGAGACACACCACCACTTCAGGCTGTTTGTTTTGGGTTTTGGTGGTTAATTGGGCATAAAGAGTCTCTTGGATTTGTCTGCCTGGGCTGGTAGTCTCCTAAATAGCTAGCATTACAGACAGGAGCCACCAGGGCCCAGCTCTTTCTGTGACTTGCTCTCTCATTCTCTGGTTCTTTCCCTCTCCATCCTTACTGGCTACCATGAGTTCTGACCACCACTTCTAACCCCTGTTATTTACTCAGAAATGTGGAGACAAATGACTATAGACTGAAATCTCTGAAACAATGATCCAAAGTAAATTTTTCCTCTTTTAGATTGATTCTCTGAAGCATTTTGTTATAGCAAGGAAAAACTTATCTACTCTTCCCTTATCGAGTGTGTTTGGAGAGGGGTGAGACCAATCTTCTTTCCCATTCAAACATGTTATAGATGTTGGAGATGTCATAGACTAGATGTCATAGATACCACAGAAAGGAAGAGTCCAATGGCACAGCTGGGGTACAGATACTAAGAGAAACACAGTAAAGTAGACCCCATACAAAAGCTCTTCCCTGCTTACCTTGGCTCTCCTTCCTCATCCCTCCTGGGAAATACCTCCATGGAGCCATCTAGAGAACCCACAGCCTGGCACAGACAGAATCCAGCGGGGCCCAGAATCTCTGAATCACCTTTCTAGCCTTAGGGATGAGGAAGGAACAAGGGGCAGCCCTTGTACATGCCTTGCAACCCACTCTCCTCACTACTGCCCTATAGCTAGCCCTCTTTCTGTCTTCCCAGTAACCTATACTGTCCACTGAGAAGATGTAGATGTGGTTATAGATGTATAACCGCTGGGGGAGGTGGCCACTAGCAAAAAAAACTCTCTCTTCCTTCTGCCCTCCCTAGCTAAATCCTCTAATTTACTCTAGAGAGACAAATAAACAGGTTAATTAGCCTAAAGGTCTCTGAGTGCCAATTAGCACTGGGGATTTCCTCTTTGAAGACATAACCTTAGCCTTCTTCCCTTACTCCCTGAGGACATCAAATGGCGGTGCCCAGGGCCAGGGGGTGAAGTGGCAGAGCAGGCTGTCCAACAGTTCATACTGCCCCCCCATGCTCCCTGACGCCCAGCTGCTTACTGTGGTCTCTGGTTGGAGCAGCTAGCTCTGCCCCATTTGTTCTCAAGGCACTGGGAAAACAGTTTCCTGTTGCTCCAAGTGTGTTAGGATTTGCTTTTTAAAATTTCATACCCACATGACTTTCTCACCTCTTTAATGGTTTTATTACTGTAATAAAGTCATCCAAATTAGCAAGGGGAATATATGTGTAAGGTTTTTTCCCTTCTATTCCCCCTCCCTATCTCTCTCTTTCATGTATCTCTCTCTCTTTTTTGTGCCAGTACTGGCTTGAACTCAGGTTCTGAGTGCTGTCCCTTAGATTTTTTGCTGGTACCCTACTACTTGAACCATAGCTCTACTTCTGACTTTTTACTGGTTTGTTGAAGATAAGAATTTCAAGAGAGAGGAGGCAACAATGCTTGATAAGAAATGTACTCATTACCTTGCCCATGTAATTGTAACCCCTCTGTATAGTATTTTCACAATTTAAAAAAAGAATCTCAAGAGAGTTTTATGCCTTGGCTGGCTTTGAACTCAGCCTCCTGAGTATCTAGGATAACAAGCATGTGTACCCAGTACCTATCTGATGTGTGAGTTTTGTGCCTCATCCCCAAAAAGTTTTCATGTCCAGATTTCCAAATAAGCCTGGGTTGATTCTTGAAAGTGTCCTCTTCAAGCTGTGTGACCTTGGACCAGGTACCTAACCTCTCTGAGTCTAGTTTTCTTAAGCACTGAAATGAGCACAATGGCAGAGGGTGAACAAGAAGAATGGAACTGGAGCCTGATTAGAATCTCTCTAAGCTTCCCAGGAAATATCAGCACAGGTACTGTTGCTTAAACTGCCAGGAACTGATGTCTGAGTTGAGATGGGCACAGGCTGGGGAAAGAACAAAAAATTGTAGTTGAAAAAGATCAAAATATTGGAGGTGATTATCTCTCCTGCTCTGCTCCCCCTTGGTGAGGAAATCCAGGCCCAGAGAAGAAGCTCGAATGTCCAAGTTAGCACAGCAGATGGAGACAAAGCTAGGGTCCTCAGCTACTCAGTTTTGTGTCTTGAGCATCTGTCTCAGGGACCTTCTCCTAGAAATACTCAGCAACAGGACCTGGGTTCATTTTGAGACAGAGGGAGAAAATTAAAAATAAAACGCGTGCCGGGTGTGCCTTTCTGCTCGCTCACTTTGCTTCTCTTCAGCTAAAAGGAGAGTGGCGGGCCTGGCTATTTATAACTAACCCAGATCCACAATTGCTTGTTCATGTAGGGGCAGGGCCCATGGACCCCAAGGAAACAACCCGTACGAACCCATCCAGCTGCTGCAGATGAGAGGAAGTGAGGTTTGGGAGCAGGCAACAGAGGGGGACCAGCTAGGATGGGGTGGCAATGTGCAGGCAAGACCCTGGACACTGAATAATCACAGCAGTTTGACTTCCCATTCTACACTGGGGGAGTAAGAAGTTGAGTGGGAGAATCAGTTGGGTCAAGCATTACCGAACTGATTGTCACACAGATAGAGAAGGAAATCATCCAGGGTCATGAGGGCTCTGGAAGTGCCAGAAGAAAGGCCCAGGAAAGTGTGCCCGCAGTGAAGTAGAGGATAGTCCAGAAGGGCAAACAGTGGGAAAGACAAAGGTGTGTGTTTGGAAGGAACAGGAGGAAATGGAGCTTGACTAGATGTGAGGGATGGCAAGATGCCCATAGCATGGAGTCACCTGCAACCAACGTTTGATCATTTTGTGAGGGAGCAGGGGTCGGCCTACTGTTCCTGATGACTCAGGAGGCTTCCAATGGGCATTCTTTTTCTTGCTACTATAAAGCCCTAGCCATTGTCTCCTAGGTTCTGGTACCAGTCCTGACCCAAGATCCTCCCTGACTCACTAAAGTTCCATCCTTGCTCCCTATCCTCTCCTACCTTCTCTCCCCCCAGTGCTGCCACCTGGCACATTTGGTGTCCCTATAATCCCATGGCCAGAGCAGGCTTTATGCTGAACTCGACCTCGGACAGGCTTTTCTACTTTTCCTTAATTTTTTTAGACTAATTGATACTTTCGTATTTGATTCTTCCCTGAGTAGAGCTCACATGGTCTGTGAGACCATGCCAGAAACAATATGAAACAAAAGCTTGCTGTCCATCTTCTCGAATTTCAAAAGCTCATCTTAAAATTTTCCAGGGGTGTCTGGTGCTGATGGCTCATAGCTGTAATACTAACTACTCAGGAAGCTAAGATATAAGGATCTTAGTTCAAAGCCTGCCTGGGCAAGGAAACTTACCTCCAATTAACCACCCAAAAGCTGGAAGTGGAACTGTGGCTCAAGGTGTAGAGTGCTAACCAAGAGGTAAAAGGCTAAGGGATAGCCCAGGCCCTGAGTTCAAGCCCCAGTACTAGCACGAAAGACACATAGAAATAAAGAATGGGGGAGATGAAAAGAAAAATCTGTAGTGGTTCTTAAGTCAACCATCTAACTGAAAGGCCACCAGTCAGGGATGACTATCCTTATTCCCAGTATTGGTGCAAGCTTGAGCACCAATGTGCCTGAGCTGGTCTGGAACATCTTGGAACTTACTCTTCTTCAACTTCCTTTCACTAGTTATCTCCAGTCCTACTGTGGCCTCAAGGCAAGCATCTCTTCCTTAAGAAAGCTGACCCCAGTGCTCAGTGTTCCCCTTGCCATTGTCTGAAGAGCCTTGGTGGGTCCCATCCAACAGCCAGCCCCATAGGGCTATAATGCAAATTACTGTTCTTTCCACACCTGCTTTAGAACCACAAGGCCTATCAGGAAGAGGCAAGGTGTAAATCCTAGAACTCTGTGCCACAAGGAAGAGGCTGATAATAAATAATTGTCGAATGAATGAATATAATCGTTAATTTACTACTAGTAAGACCATCTCATTTCACCTCACCTTGATGTGGTCTCCAGGGGACAGGTCAGGGAAGCAATAACCAGAACCAGTGGACCCCTTAAGGGGTTAGCCTCTGATTTACAGCTGAAATGCAACAAGGGGTTACCCTACTCTTGTATTTGGGCTTGCTCTTTACAGAAAAGTGAACACTGAACCCTTGGCTCTACGGTAAAAACTAACTCTACTCATATCTGACTGTTTGCAAATGTGTGTTTCCTATGAACATTAACCCTACTAATTTCCCTTTCAAGAGCCAGGGTC